TTCGGATTTCGGATTTCTGAGCTTTATCAGCTTCTTTAATTCAGAATGATTTTTTAATCTCGGGCCAGCAGGATTGCCAGACGTCAGATTATGAAAACACAATCAGCCTGCTGTGAAAATTAAAATATTCCAGCTGCTAAGTGTGTCTTTCACTGGGTGATGTGTTCTGTTATGTGTAAAACACGAGGACAGGACAAGTCACATAGAAGTTTCTGGGTCTGTACACCCGCTGTGCCCATTATGAGGCGATCCCACCATCCCTGTGCTGAGTTCCCGGGTCTGTACACCCGCTGTGCCCATTATGAGGGGCTCCCACCATCCCTGTGCTGAGTTCCCGGGTCTGTACACCCACTAATTAAAAAGGGGATGTATTGCAGGGACAAGTCTATAATTTTGCCACTTTATAGATCATTGGTTCGACCTCATCTGGAGTACGCGGTCCAGTTCTGGTCACCAGTACTAAGAAAAGATGTCCTTGAGTTGGAAAAAGTCCAGCGAAGGGCAACCAAACTAATTAGGGGTATGGAGGACCAGAGCTACGAGACGAGGCTACTAAATTTAAACATGTTCACATTAGAGGTGAGGAGATTAAGGGGGGATATGATTTCCATGTACAAAATGTTTAATGGTGGTAGCAACATTAGCGATAAACTGTTTAAAATTAACTCCGTTACAAAAACTAGAGGCCATAACCTAAAATTGGTGGAAAAAAAATTCCAGCACAAGGTGCGAAGGGGGTTCTTCACAGTAAGATCAGTTAGGGTCTGGAACTCACTGCCACAGGCGGTGATTTCAGCAAATAATGTGGAATTGTTCAAGAAACTTTTGGACGATTTCTTAAGGGACCGTAATATACAGGGGTACGGGTACTCCTAGAATGAGATCCTAATAGGTTGGACTTGATGGACTAATGTCTTTATTCAACCTCAAATACTATGTAACTATGTAAGTATCCTAGGCATACTATATAAGCCAGGAGCTGTGTCTATGTGCATAACATTGATCTTGGTCTCTTTCTAGGTAAAGTTGGTCAGTATAGATGCTGCCGAAATCGCTGATGGAAACCCCTCTTTGGTTCTCGGCTTGATCTGGAACATCATCCTCTTCCTGCAGGTAGATCCTGGTTTAGGGTTGGCTGAAGTATGATAATTGATACCATCCCTCCTGATTTTCGTCGCACCTGGCAGTGAATGTAACTTCCTTTCCCCCAGGCAGCAGAATCTGTGATAGGATGGACTGTTTATACCCCTGGCTGCCCCACCTTTGGCCTGAGGGCTCTATGTGAACCTTGGTACCTACAGTGTAGTCCTCGGGCTGCAGCAGTAGAACCGAAGGGGTGCTGTACGGGCTATTCACATAAGCCTGTACAGCTCCCGAACGTGGCCGAGCAGCTCAGTCAACGGCATTCGCTATTCACTCACTGCTGTTCGGCATCTATAAGAATGGGCCGAACAGCAGCGAGTAGCCTGCCGGAGGTTCGGCTCAGCCGATCCAGATGTTGGATCGGCTGAGTCGAACTCCTTCTGCACTTCGAGTCGGCCGAACATGCTGAGCATGTTTGGCCGACCCGAAGCCATGTGAAGCAAGCCGATGTACAGCTGATTTCAGCCGATGTACGGCTGAAATCAGCCGCATCAGCCTGGAGTGAATAGCCGAACAGTGTTCGGCTCACTTCACTTGGGGTCGGTTGTTCACTCGGCTGCCCTTCAGCAGCTTAGTGAATAGACCTGTAAGATGTGTTTATTTCCTGTGATCCTCAGCTCCATCTAGTGGCCCCAATGTGGTATTTTCCTGATTTCCTGTATGAATATACCAAACTTTTGACCAACAATAAGAACATTCCTTTTTGCCCCATTCTCACAAACACTGGTTAATTTGTACAGAACAGTACATGCCGTTTCACTGGACGAATGGCTATGCATCTGGTTTTTATAATTAGACCCCTTAGCGCAATACCTGGGGCAAGCGCACCCCACATAGCCACTGGTTAGCAACCACAGTTATACATTTTAATTAGACCACTGAACTCATTTATTTGCAAAATACGTAGAAGCCGTTAGAGTTCCTTCTAAAGAGAGAATGTGCCCCTTCCTTATTCAGAAATGGACTTTGTGGAACGCGTCGGCCATCTCATCCCATTATCGGTTTGGTGCAGGAACATTCATGACTTCTATATTATCTCCTCTCACAGATTAAAGAACTCACAGGAAACCTGAACAGAATGTCGTCGTCTTCCAGTCTGTCATCCCTGCCTAGCGGGACCGAGTCCGACACGTCTCATCCCGGCACTCTCAGCACAGAGAAAAGTCTGTCCGTTTCAATTAAGGATCAACGGAGGGCAATCAAAGCTTTACTCAGCTGGGTTCAGCAGAGGACAAGAAAGTAAGAACAGGCGTCCCTTTCCGCCTTGGTGTAGCCTCATGTTATAGTGCGATTAGCTGGGAGCTTGAAAGGCATCTACCGGCAACAGAAATGTCCTTTTCTTATAGTGTTATAGTTATTTTCTGTCTGTACCCGGAGTAGGGATGGAAACAACGTTGTTGCATGCTCCCATTGAAGTCTATGGGCCTTAAAGCGCACTATGTTACATCAAGAGAAGCACATGCCCCATTTTGAAAGTCGTATTACATTGCGATGCATCGATGTAAAGGGCCCCTTAGGACATAATATAGACACCATATAGACATCTACATACTGCTTATACATGAACCTTTGAGTGATGAACGGGCACCACATAGACATCTACTGTATGTACTGCTCATATATGATCTTCTGAGTGATGAACGGGCACCACATAGACATCTATGTACTGCTCATATATCATCATCTAAGTGATGAACGGGCACATCTATGATCTTCTGAGTGATGAACGGGCACCACATAGGCATCTATGTACTGCTCATATATCAACATCTATGTACTGCTCATATATCATCATCTATGTACTGCTCATATATCATCATCTAAGTGATGAATGGGCACCACATAGATGTTCATATATGAGCAGTACATAGATGCCTATGTGGTGCCCATTCATCACTCACAAGATCATATATGAGCAGTACATAGATGTGCCTGTTCATCACTTAGATGTTCATATATGAGCAGTACATAGATGCCTATGTGGTGCCCATTCATCACTCACAAGATCATATATGAGCAGTACATAGATGTGCCTGTTCATCACTTAGATGTTCATATATGAGCAGTACATAGATGCCTAAGTGATGAATGGGCACCACATAGACATCTAGGTACTGCTCATTTATGAACTTCTGAGTTTTGAACGGGCAGCCCATAGGCATCTATATGGTGGTTATACATGAATCTATAAGTGATAAACAGGCACCACATAGATATCTATGTACTGCTCATACACAAGCTCATGAATGATGGATGGGCTGCCCATAGACATCTATGCAACAGATTAATCTAAGCACAATATACCGTAGCATTCAGACAACTCAAAGGAAAAGGGTGTTGTAAGCACATTCAGTCATTATTTTGCAGTGAGTGTGACTCCTAGCATTACCCCAACATGTCTTTCTCTCTCTATAAGGTACGGAGTGGCGGTTCAGGATTTTGCTGGTAGTTGGAGAAGTGGACTCGCCTTCTTGGCCGTTATTAAAGCCATAGACTCCAGCCTTGTGGACATCAAGAAAGCACTGGAGAGATCGGCCAGGGAGAATCTTGAAGACGCATTTACTATTGCCCAGCGGAGTCTCAACATCCCGCGGCTTTTAGAACCAGAGGGTAAAAGATTTAAAAAAATGACATTGGAGTATTGAGTAATTTAGGCAAACAAATAACAAGTGCCTATCAAAGTCAACTTATCATTAGAAATATTTTTAATGCCAACTCATGTGAAAATGTCCCCTGCTTCTTTCTCTAGATGGGCAGCACCATCTTTGTTCAGGCTTTAATCAGGGTTACTATTTACTTCCTGGATTGACGTGATGGCTCAAAGATGACACAACCATTGTTCCCTGCACATCTTGGACATGAGCAGGGAACAGCAGTGTAAACCAGTCAGGCTGTACTGCAATGGCTAGTGTTGCCTGTCTATCACTGGGAGTTCGCTGACAGGAGAGGAGCACAACAGAGCAATGATCTTACAAGCATGCTGCCTCTCCTTCATTGTCCATTCAGCAGGGAACTGGAAACTGTTGACCAAGCTTTATAACTGAGCTGCAGTGGAGAAAAAGTGAGGTCAGGGACCTTACTGTGCTGTCTAGTAGGGGTGCCTGGATCACAAGACTGGCTGAAAAGAATTACCAGGGCATCAGTGTTAGCTAACCATACTCTACTACATTGCATGATGTCAATCTAACACTGAAAGTATGCTAGCAGGAGTAGAAAGCAGAGTGAGGCCCTTATCATTGTGCTTCTGCTCCTTCTTTGCCCTGTTAGCAGGCTGGGACTGGTCACCAGGCGGTGCTGCTTAAAGGAGAACTATGAGGTGAGTGCTTTTCACTCACCTCATAGTTCTAGCTGACCTGTGACAATGAGACTGTCACAGGTCGGCTCAGTAGATCGGGAGGTGAGCGAACACATACCGGCGTTCGCTCACCTCTCGATCCTGTCACAGCTCTCTGCCGTGACAGGGGAGGGGCTGGATTCCCCCCTCCCCGCTCCGATCCGCCAGCGCTGACTGGCGGAACGGACAGGGGAGGGGGCGGGTACAGCTGGCTCTGCCTCTAGATAGGCAGAGCCAGCTGTCAGTCACGCAGCTTGGCGGATCTCGACATCGATGTCGGGATCCGCTCCGGCTGCGGCGTCTCAGTATACCGCGAGCTGTAGCTCCCTATATACTGAGCTTAGGGTGACGGGAGGATGCTAGTTTGTGTCCTCCCATTACCCTAAGGAGAACTATGGGGAAAAGCCCTGACCCCATAGTTCTCCTTTAACTGCATGTAGAAAAGTGATGCCTCAAACCTGGCTTTTCCATTTCTTTTGTTACATTCAACATGTCTCACTCTGTATTTCCTCTGGTTGCAGATGTGATGGTGGATTCGCCGGACGAACAATCCATAATGACATACGTCACACAGTTCCTGGAGCATTTTCCAGAGCTTGACCCAGTAAGTTTCATATACACCACTCTTGTTTTTTCCTGCAGAAGTCCCTCGTAGATTTCATGTCAATGAAGAAACTGATGAATACAATGCTGGTTTCTTAACTTCACACTTACGTCTATGTTCTTTACTCGGTAGGATGATTTCACAGATCGCAGTGAAGATGCTCCAGTGGAGATGACATACGTGCATTACAAAGATGGTCCTAGGGAAGAAGAAGGCAAGATCATTACTATACCCAAAAATGAGGAAAATGACTTTACGGTGGAACTTCAGACAAGGCCTCTTACGCCACCAGAGACACATGTCTACACAGAAGTTAATGTTGCAGATGACAGAAATCCAAGTCCCATGAACAGTTTTAGCAAACCACAATGGCTCTCATCAAAAGCTACTCGAGGTTCAGGTCCTGAGACGGCCGGGTTTATGTTTGACAGGTTTTTACGCCGGCCTGAAATGTCTTCATTGAATTCTGGGGTATCCGGGGAAGTCTCTGGTAATGGATTCAAAAAAATCAAAAATACTGAAGGTCCAGTGGAACCAGTTTTGCTTTCTAATGGACCAGGAGAGCTTCACTACAACTTATTTGATGAAGACTCACCCAAACCTACTTCAGGTGGACCCAAAGACCAGGAGCCAAATTATATATTAAGTGATGACTACAACAAATATTGTGACTCTTCTTCATCATTTTCATCCATTTCCGATAGGGAACCCAATGACCTCTTCTATCACTCTGAGGATTTTCAAGGTTCCATAAAGCCATCACCAATGTCTGATGACAGTGGACTAGTGACACCACATGACCAAAATGAGGAAGATGACATCTTCAAGTACATCTCACACCTGCCCAAAGATCATTTAGAAGGTGAACCTTCCAAACAAAGGACTGTCTTCCAAGCATACAAATCCAGCACAGATGATAAGGTTAACTCTAAAAATCGTCTGGATTCCATTGAAGACCATCTGGCAGAGGAAACCAACTCCGTGGAAGACAAGAACTCTGCTAAAGTTTCCATCATCCCTCATGACTTATTTTACTACCCTCATTATAGCGTTCCCATTGCTGATGTCTTGCAGGCCTTTGCCGACACCTGCCCAGATGGTATCAATAGGTCCGATAGGGAGTTTGACGATTCATCCGAAAACCACTCAGAGGGCAGCGACTCATTCAGTGGTGACGACGACTTGGACGGAGAGATGATAGAAAAAGTGACTTCAGTGCCAGAATCCGAAGAATGGGGGTTAGGTTTGAAGGACTTTGTGCAAGATGTGACATGCATAAAGACTGGTTCACCAGCTTGGTCAGTGGGATCCATATTGAATGGATCAGTATCTCAACCAGCCCATGACCTACAGCCCAACAATTCCTCTTTTCACTCTGGATATAATGACAATTCTCAGGTAATGTCTGTAGATGGAGATGAGTGTCACCTTAAAATACTCATTTTGGATGGGCTTGGCCTTTTCAAAGTGTATTTCTAGGCAAATAAAACACAACATAATAAAGTGCAACTGAAGCCAGAGGCTCTCCGAATACCTGAACAGTGACTGCTGATTGGATGCAGTCACTGTTAAGCCAACATGTGCCCTAGCATTCATCTGTACAGATTAATGTTTATGGTGTGAACCGGCTTTTATAGTTTGCATGTAAACAAATATCTGGCTTTTTCAATACATGAGGGTAAGGGTAGCCATACAAGGCTCAAATTTCCTTCTGAATCAGCCAAAATTCAAGCTGTGGTTGGCCCCATTGGCACCACCTGACTTGACAAACTTTGACTAAACAATCAAAGGAACCAGGTGAAAAATGTTTGCCCAACGAGGTGCAACCAGTGTTCAGGTATTCAGACAAACATGACTGCCACTGTCTCTTGAGATTCCTCTCTCCGTGCATGTGACATTATTATTATACAGGATTTATAGAGCGCCAACAGTTTGCGCAGCGCTTTACAATATAAGGAAGACATTACAATACAATACCCCTGTGTCACGATCTGGGACCAGGCTCAGAGTCCAGAAGCAGCAGACAATTCGTAGTATAACAGGCCAGGTTTGGTACACAAGCAGACGGTAGTAGTATAGGAGCAGGCAGAAGCGTAGTCAGCAAACAAGCCAAGGTCAGGAGCCAAAGGTATCGGGTATGTAGCAGAAGACGGTGAGAGTAGTCGGTGAATCAGCAGCCAAAGGTCGGTACACGGGTAGCAGTATAAGTAGACTGTAGCAGAGAGGGAGCAGGAAGCAAGATAATGGCAGGAGCACAATAATCTGGCAAACAGGAAGTGCAGAGGCGTGGCTTAAATAGGAAGTTCAAGGGAGGAGCAAGGAGTTCAGCAGAAACTAGGTTTAACTGAGGATTACACAGGAGATCAGGCAAGGAGCTGTCCAAGGTTCTAAGGTGGCTCAGCAGGTAGAACCACTGCCAGCTACAGCAGAGGTCCTGGGTTCAGATCTGGTTCCTGATATCCTGAGGTCTTACAATCTAATAGGGAGGGAGAAGTGATACATGGGGAGGGAGCTGTGTGGGGATGAATTGTTTGAGAACGTGATGGTTGAGTGGTTAGGTTGAGGTGGGATAGACTTCCCTGAAGAGATGAGTCCATAGGGATTGACATGGCTGGATGAGAGGACTCTCAACGCAGCGCTTTACAATATAAGGAAGACATTACAATACAATACCCCTGTGTCACGATCTGGGACCAGGCTCAGAGTCCAGAAGCAGCAGACAATTCGTAGTATAACAGGCCAGGTTTGGTACACAAGCAGACGGTAGTAGTATAGGAGCAGGCAGAAGCGTAGTCAGCAAACAAGCCAAGGTCAGGAGCCAAAGGTATCGGGTATGTAGCAGAAGACGGTGAGAGTAGTCGGTGAATCAGCAGCCAAAGGTCGGTACACGGGTAGCAGTATAAGTAGACTGTAGCAGAGAGGGAGCAGGAAGCAAGATAATGGCAGGAGCACAATAATCTGGCAAACAGGAAGTGCAGAGGCGTGGCTTAAATAGGAAGTTCAAGGGAGGAGCAAGGAGTTCAGCAGAAACTAGGTTTAACTGAGGATTACACAGGAGATCAGGCAAGGAGCTGTCCAAGGTTCTAAGGTGGCTCAGCAGGTAGAACCACTGCCAGCTACAGCAGAGGTCCTGGGTTCAGATCTGGTTCCTGATATCCTGAGGTCTTACAATCTAATAGGGAGGGAGAAGTGATACATGGGGAGGGAGCTGTGTGGGGATGAATTGTTTGAGAACGTGATGGTTGAGTGGTTAGGTTGAGGTGGGATAGACTTCCCTGAAGAGATGAGTCCATAGGGATTGACATGGCTGGATGAGAGGACTCTCAGTGTATATGGCTAGCATTCATCTTTAAAAGTCATTTATTTAGAACTTCTTGAAGATAACATGGCTTTTCTGATCTCAGGTAACTGAACACACTGAAGATCCTGATGATGATGTTGATGAATCTATAACAAGCGGAGAGAGAGTCGTCAGTAGGAAGTCAAACCTGGAGTTCCATCTCATTGAAGATCATCCATGCAAACTTGCTGCAGAAGTAGAGGCCAGTCCTAAGGATCCGTGGCTTTCAAGGTAACATTTGTGGACACGCAAAAAGTACAACTATTAAACCCTCATTGCAATATTTAATTTTCCCTTTAGGTCCACGAAGCATTAATATTAAATGAGAACTATGGGGTTAAGGCTTTTCCCCATAGTTCTTCTTAGGGTAACGGGAGGACACAAACTAGCGTCCTACCGTCACCCTAAGCTCGGTATATAGGGAGCTACAGCTCATTGTATACTGAGATGCCGCAGTATAGCGCGAGCTACTGTTCGCGGTATACTGAGACGCCGCAGCTGAAGCGGATCGCGACAATTATGCCGGGATCTGCCCAACTGCGTGAGTGACAGCTGGCTCTGCCTATCTAGAGGCAGAGCCAGCTGCACCCGCCCATTTTTTTTTTTCTAAAATGGTCCCAAAACGCTCACTTTATCAATTTTTATTAAGCTACTCACTCAATCCTTCTTAGCTCCACTTCCCAAACTTTTGGTTGGGAAACGTGCAATCTTTAAATGAATGAATGGTCCTGCTGCCTCAAATTTAGGGACTACATGTCCCATGATCCTTTGCGCTTTTTAGATTAAGCACATGCATGTCTATCTGTCAGTCAAAGCCCTTAAAAGAGGAAGGTTTCGATGCTACTTAGTAAGGGGAGCGGCTTGGGATGCCGGATTCTGCTCCCTGTGCGCATGAAGCTTCGGCATGACAGTATGCAGTCTTGGCACGTAAGGGTGGCAGTCTTGGCACCCTGGGGCTCCACAGGGATCCTGCAAGACAATGTAGTCACCCCATAGATGGCAATGCAGGAAACAGAAAATTGCATGCCAGCAGAGTCGCCTATCATATGCACGGTGAATTCAGCTGATCCATATGGTAATGTTTTGGTAAGGCTTTTGTGAGCCATCTACAGGAGAAAGACAGATTCGTGATGAGGCAGATAATCAGGAGTTGAGCAATGTCTACTGTATAGATTTTATTTATTGTTTTCAATTTTTCACAGAGCCATTCAGAATGACGCGCACACCCACAACAGAAAAGAGCATGAGTTCAACAAAGTTATCGTAAGTCAGCTCAGTTTTTATTTTATTTTTACAAAAACCACGGCCGCGGCCTTTTGCCCCGGTTGGGTATATCGGTCTCTATATAAGGCCATGGGCTATATTTGCACGTATTGAGGCTGAAGGCAGCACATTGTTGGAGGATGTCAAAGAAATCTTGTGCTAAAAGTGTGCAGGCAACCATCGCTCACTTCCCCTTCTTCCCCTTCTAAAGGACAAAAATTACATTTTAAATGGGGAAGAATTTTTAAAAAGGGAAATTTGGACTGGCCTCCACCTGCTTGAATAAGACAATAGGGCATGTACTGTGCATACAAGGTTGAGTGCAAGCTCCTGGGCTACGCAACTGACTGAGGCTGGAGCCTGTGCTACCGGAGATTCTATCTATGGGTAGCCTGAAAAATGAATACCAGGCATTTATATATCTCCAACTAAGAATCAGCTCATGTTCAGACCAAACCTGAGCTCATCCGGAAATGGAAGCCACATGGGCCTCCTACCCAATCATCTGCAGGCATTCCCCGATCCACGGCTGACCATAAACAAATGCTGGGGGTGCTTGTTGTGACATCATTTACCTAATATGGCCATAAAAGGTAAACGACCTTTACATAATATAGCCATATAAGGTCAATTACATCACTGCACCCCGCCCCTTTGCTTGAGTCAAGCTGTGGATGGGGAATTCCCTGCCCACAGCTGATTAGGCAGCAAACAAGGAGCTTCCTTCCATGTTCCGGGGAGCTAGTGCCAACAATTTACACAGCGCTTTACATACTGTACATGCACGTCGGCCCCTGCCCTCCAGGAGCTTACAATCTCAGTTCCCTATATCTCATATCAGGCCGAATTTAGAGAGGAGCCAATTACCCTGGCAGCATGTCTTGTGGTTCTTGGAGGAAACCTACCCAAGCACAGGGAAAACATGCAAACTACTTGCAGGTAGTGTCATGGCTGGGATTTGAGCCAAGTACCCCAATGCTGCAGGACGGGAATGCTAACCACTGAGCCACTGTACTTAGTGGCACTTAAACTTAACATTGAGATGCAGAAACGTCAAGTTCATAACAGAATTATGTTTTGGTGTATTTTACATATCTACTTGATACAAAGGGGTTCATTTATAAAAGTTCCTACAGGAATTTCCTATACTCGTCAGGGCCATCTAGGGGCGCTAGTGCTGTGCTAACGGTAACTGCCCAGCTATACGCCAGGCAGAACTATTATAAATGAATCCCGAGGTATTGTGTGGCCACAAAAAGTTGAGGAAGGAAAAGAGGCCACGGAGGAGAAAATGTGATGCCGAGTCCTGAAAGGTGGAAGAAAAAAGGCCGTGGCACAGGCTAAAATCCAATTCAGTATTTGCGACTCATCCCATTCCTTGTCATTTTAAACCTGGTTGTCACCTTTAATTCCTTTAATAACCAATAACATTTTCATGCTTATTTGACAGAATGTTAGAACTTTGAGGGAGGAAAACACAGAAGGTGATAAAGACCAAAATTCAGGACCAAGGTGAGTTTCGTTCTTCATAGGAGATGGTTGAACATGGAGCTTAAAGTGTAGCCAAAAGTTTTGGGTTTTCTTTTTGGTTAGAGCTACACTGCTAAGACAGATCAAGCGAATGCTTCTCACTGCACAGAGGGGGCACACAGTAGGCATTTGGGGTCAGGAAGTGCACTGAGGTCACTACATGACACAGGATGCTCTGGGGTACACTTGGGGTCATGGCGCGCACTGGAGTCACTAGATGACACAGGTTGCTCTGGGGTACACTTGGAGTCACTAGATGACACAGGTTGCTCTGGGGTACACTTGGAGTCACTAGATGACACAGGTTGCTGTGGGGTACACTTGGGGTCATGGAGCAGACTGGAGTCACTAGATAATACAGGATGCTCTGGGGTACACTTGGGGTCATGGAGCGGACTGGAGTCACTAGATGACACAGGTTGCTCTGGGGTGCACTTGGAGTCACTAGATGACACAGGTTGCTGTGGGGTACACTTGGAGTCATTAGATAACACAGGATGCTCTGGGGTACACTTGGGGTCATGGCGCGCACTGGAGTCACTAGATGACGCAGGTTGCTCTGGGGTGCACTTGGAGTCATTAGATAACACAGGATGCTCTGGGGTACACTTGGGGTCATGGAGCGCACTGGAGTCACTAGGTGACACAGAATTCTCTGGGAAGCACTTGGGGTCACTAGATGACACAAAATGCTCACAGGTGCACCCAGGTCACTAGATTACACAGCTTGCTCTGGGGTCATGGAATGCACTGCCGTCCCTAGATGACACAGGATGTTCTGGGGTGCACTTAGGTCACAGGGGCACCGAGGTCAGCTTGCCTTGGGGTGCACTTGGGTCATGGGATGCACTGGAGTCACTGGATGACACAGGATGCTCTGGGGAACGCTTGGAGTCACTGGATGACACAGGATGGTCCGTGTCTGTTCTTGGGTCACAGGGTGCACTGAGGTCACTGGATGACACTGAATACTATAGGGTTCATTTAGGTCACGAGGCGCACTGAGGTCACTAGATTACACAGCTTGCTCTGGGGTGCACTTGGGTTACAGGGTGCACTGGAGTCACGAGGCATGAGGATACAGGTAAGGTGCCTGTATGAGCTTGGCTTAAAGCATAGTGACGCTTTGCTTGACTGCTGAACCATGTGTACCTTCGCAATTTGAGCTGGAGCCATCAGGAGAACTGTTTCCTGATTGGTCGTGGTGCTGATTAGAAGAGCCATCTGCTGATTGGCTACCAGATTCTGGGTGAGCAGAGAGGAGACCTGCATTCATAGGCATCCTAAGGGCAACTGAAAGAGCATTCATGGTAGACTGACTGCTGCTGATTATTGCAAGACATTGGCTTGTTGTCAGCCTGCAACAGGAAGTGCTGTTACTGGCAGCATCTCAAAGAAACTGCAACAGGTGCACAAACATTGATTTGCGAAAGGGAACTGCGTGCAGTGAGGCATGAAGCCAAACATACAAAAAACTGATTTGGGGTTTACTTACACTTTAAATTGGAGGAAACCCAGTAAACACATATGAACATTCCATGTAGACGGTATCTTCGGGGGATCTGAGCCCTGAACCATTCTGTATAATACACATATTACTGCTCCACTAAGCTACAGCTCCCCTTCACAGTGCTAATTTCTGACCTAATATACTTATTATATAAACATCATTAACCGATATCCCTGGGCAGCATGAAACGACAGAGAATGTTATATATATATATAGGTCTCTTCATTGACTCACTGGCTCCCCCTGGAGCTCTGTCAGGGCACAACAAACGTGGAGAAAAAAACATGATAACATAAACACCATATTTGTATCTATTGTATATTTACCTACAAAGTGATTCTGCCGGTGATATTTGTAAATAGACGTGCAAATATAACAATGAACCACCAAGGAGTGATTTTAAAGAGAGACAAAAAATGAAATTAATTGCTGGACTGGATTCATTAAAATTAGAGTTAAATCTCAAAAATGCATTCAAGCAGTGGCGTCACAAGGGGAGTGCGGGGGGTGCGGCCCGCACCTGGGTGTCACCATTGCAGTGTTGACACCAAAATGACTGACAGTCACCCCCCTCTAAAAAGTCGGGCACTTGGTCATGGACTGAGAGCCTGACAGTGTCAGGAGATAGGAGGGGACCTGGCGGCATACCTCATCCCGCCGGGTGAACGTCCCCTTCTCTCTCTGCCAGCATCCGTCAGCAAGATGGCCGCCGGCAGGCATCAATTAGATGGTCGCGCATGCGGGGTGACGTCATCACGCATGAGCGAGGTGACGTCACATGACTACACGGCGGGGTGTCACCCGGCCTCGGGACGCCACTGATCAGAGCTATGCACTGGGCGGAACATATAGAAATCAGACCCTAAATGTGTTAGGGCTACTGAACACTTCCCCCTGTCCTCCTCTCCATAATAGGGAAGAGTTCTGTAATACACAGATGTAGTACAGAGATAACTCTGCAGGGTTGATATCACTGCAGAGTGCACAGGGAGTAACAAACTTGCTTCATTTCTAGCAGGATCAGCAAGACATTTTTTGCACTTTCGCACGGATGTAACAAACCGTTTTCATTGTTATATTTAAAGGAGAACTGTGGGGTCAGGGCTTTTCCCCATAGTTCTCTGAAGGAATGACGTCATCACGCATGAGCGAGGTGACGTCACATGTGATGACTACACGGCGGGGTGTCACAGAGCCGTGACAGGATCAAGAAGTGAGCGAACGCCGGTATGTGTTCGCTCACTTCCCGATCTACTGAGCCGACCTGTGACAGTTTCATTGTCACAGGTCGGCTAGAACTATGAGGGGAGTGAGAAGCACTTGCCTCAGAGTTCTCCTTCAAGGATCCAAAAGACGCAAATAAAAGCAATTTGGGATTTTAGAATTGTTGGGTTTACATGCAATACAAATTATATTCTTATTGTACGCTATGTATAGCGTCACTTTCCTTTTGTGTGACTTTTTATATCCTTTTTCTTTTTTTCCTCCTTTGCAGTAAAAGTGAACGTGGCGACACGCGCCGAGGGTCCCCGAGCTCCGGACCTTTGACGCCTGCTAAAGATCTGAGGAAGATGTATTACATCGGGATCCTGCTCTGGTTCATTTGCTACTGCGCCTTCATCCTCCCAGAGTTGGACATGAGCAAAGTGGAATTCTTAGTGAGAGACGATTAAAGACGGGGTCCCCGGGGTGGGGGGCCCACAAATCGCCAATGGTTTTTCCTCTCGCCATGTCTCCTACAGCAATAATTTTAACCTGCTAGCGTCCTGCGTCGCGGCACATGACTAATGAGACACAATGAGCAGAATAATCTCATTTGGTGCCTTTGTGCAAAACTAGCGTGCTACTGCCGTCCTTTCACCCTTGAAACATAAACCGCAAGCTGGTTTGTGACAAATCATAATTTGGTACGCCGTTCGGATACAAATGTAAATGTTTGAGGAAACTCAGCAGAACTCGATCTATAAGGCGTAAGAACAATATATTCGTAGGCACTTTCTGTCTCATAACGCCATAGAAGTATAACCAGTTATAAGCCGCCTTTAGCCTACAGTGGCGGGTAACAGCGAATAATAAGCTGCTTTGTAACGTTACAAGAAATCTCCCTCTCTGTGCAGGCGTGGCAACAGTTACGTTACAGATTGTGAATGTTTTGCATAAATGTAACGCTTTTGTTTTGGGTTTATTAGTCCTGTTAGATACAAAGTTTTTACTTAAAGGGGTCTATTTGTAAATAATTCACAGAGCCATTGGCCCTGCGAACATCCGTTGTGTGCAAATGGATGCACAAAAAGAATGTTCTTGCATAATATTGAATATACTTATATATTGAATGTATTTTGAATGCCATCTTGTAAAACCACATTATGGCCACTAGATAGAGATGAGGAGCATATCCATTATTTCCTATGCTCCTCAGCTCCATCTGGTGGCCATAATGCGGTATGACAAGGTGACATTTGAAATTGCATTCAACATAAAGAAAATATACTAAAAACTAGAGATGCACCGATACTTTACAGATACCGGTGCCGATACTAGGGCATTTTCATGAGAACTACCAGGGTGGCAGCTGGGACCGGGCTCTGGCGTTCCAACACTGTCCTGACATCATTAGTCTGTATTGTTTTAGAAAAACTGTCACATGACAATAAACAAAAATGTATCAGTACTCATACTTGCAAATATAGTATCGGTGCATTCCTTATATATATTTATAAAAACAAAATTATACAATAAAACAGAGATGTACAAATCCCAGGAGCTCCGTGTGCTCCTTACACATGACAGCCGCCCCCTAACTTTTGTATGTTTCTCTAGTGTAGTCCTGGAGCTGGAAAAGTATCTGCACTTGTACGGAGTACGGTACTTGGTATGGGTGCATCCCTACTAAAAACATTCATTTTGTGCATCCCTTCACACAGAACGAACATTCACAGAGATTATCAGGGTCAATGGCTCTGTGAATTGTTTATAAATAGACCCGAAGTATCTCTAGTCAAAAGTCAAAAATGTTATTTTTCATTTTGAATAGAGTGGTGAGGGATTAGAACCCCTGTCACATTTTTTTCTGCTTTCTGTGTCTCCATTAGGGGGATATAAATAATCTCGATTTGTCCTTAGGATAGTTGTCGCCGGGACTGAAAGTGAAGGGGAAACCAGCATTTTGAGTTGCCTCCGGAACAATATAGAGGGGAAATCTTCTGACGGGGACACAAGTTTAAACAACAACGGTCTATGAGGGCTTTCCCCTTCACTTTGGAGAGATTTTTCTCTCACTTCCTCTTGTGCCTACAGAACAGGAAGTGAAGGGAAATCTCCCCGTTGGGGCACAGCTGGAAACACAAAACCTGACAGTTTTGTCTACCGCTCCCTACTGCACCCAAAATGAAAAGTTTTCGGCTTTGGTTATACTTTAAATATTTGCACTTGTTCAATGTGTTCCTTGAACCTTGTTAGTCTTCCTGACTTTGCACAATTTTGCAGAGGGACCAAACGATGACAATGCCCAGGCCAGCGACCAAACCCGCACCGGAAATGTGTGTGTGTATGTTTCATGTTTTATATGCCAAAAAAATAACAGAACATTCAGCACAGCCAGTACGGTGACCTTACTCTTCCTTCTACTGCAGGAAGGAATTGCAAGTTGGTCACTGACCCGCCCGTAGCTTGATTGTTGACAGTGTTAGAGCGACAGCACTGTGCAATGTAGTAGATGCGTGTTGGTTCATAGTGCTCCCCCTCCCTCTCTTAATCTCAGCAATGTGTTCATTATAATAAGCTAATATAAAGACAGACCTAGGTACCTAGACTAGCTGTCCCTAAAAATGCAAAAAGGAATATACAGCGATCTTTTATTATCTGCTTGGTTCCCAGCTTTAATGTCCTTACCACTAAATCACAAAGTAACGCTTTAAGACATGAAAGAGTGTAGGTGGGAGGCGCCTAAGGGTAGTAGGTGGGAGGCGCTGAAGAGTGTAGGTGGGAGGTGCTGAAGAGTGTAGGTGGGAGGTGCTGAAGAGTGTAGGTGGGAGGCGCCGAAGAGTGTAGGTGGGAGGTGCCAAAACTCAACTTGATAAGGTCCAAACTGAAGAGTACACTGACCCTCAAGGGGACCTCCGATGAACACTGGAAGGTGGAGGGAAACAAGAGCGCCACACCAAATGTTTAGGTGTGCAAAAGTTTTTAATTCCGAAATAGAGGCCCAAAAACTGATACCGGGGAACGGGGTGTTATGATATTCCTTCTTCATCAGGGATTACACTGCTGGTAATTCAATTGGATATTAATTCATAGAAGGTTAATTCATTTCAGGAATCAACTGACTCCTTTATCCCCATAGCATGCTTCAGCATCTGGTTGTGTAGTGTTGAATGGACCTTTTATTAACCCATACGGGTGTAATGCTTGCCCCTGTACCAGAGGTCAGTGACTATAGTCAGCGAGTGTTGCATTAGTGGCACCCATTCCCTTAAAGCAAGTCGGTTTACTGGTACTTGGTTGCCCACAGGGCTTAAAACACAATGATGGAGCCTCTGGTCAAGTGGTACGAGGGATGGAGTGAGGATAAAGAAAAGAGTAGCTGTGGCCTTCTGCACAACTGGTGAATAGCCAGTAGCGGCTCCAGAATGTGGTGGTTAGGCAGCAGACCATGTGAATAATCCAGGGTCAGGCAGAAGTCAGGGCCGGCAGCAGGCAGTAAGTATAATCCAGGTATGAGCCAAAGGTCAGGACAGGCAACAGACAATAAGCATAATCCAGGGACAGTCTGAGTTTAGGGCTAGGTGGTAGATGAGAGTAATCCAGGGACAAGCTGAGGTTAGGGCTAGGTGGTAGATGAGAGTAATCCAGGGACAAGCTGAGGTTAGGGCTAGGTGGTAGATGAGAGTAATCCAGGGACAAGCTGAGGATAGGGCTAGGTGGTAGATGAGAGTAATCTAGGGACAGGCTGAGGTTAGGGCTAGGTGGTAGATGAGAGTAATCCAGGGACAAGCTGAGGCTAGGGCTGGGTGGTAGATGAGAGTAATCCAGGGACAAGCTCAGGTTAGGGCTAGGTGGTAGATGAGAGTACTCCAGGGACAGGCTGAGGTAAGGGCTAGGTGGTAGATTAGAGTAATCCAGGGACAAGCTGAGGTAAGGGCTAGGTGGTAGATGAGAGTAATCCAGGGACAAGCTGAGGTTAGGACTAGGTGGTAGATGAGAGTAATCCAGGGACAAGCTCAGGTTAGGGCTAGGTGGTAGATGAGAGTACTCCAGGGACAGGCTGAGGTAAGGGCTAGGTGGTAGATTAGAGTAATCCAGGGACAAGCTGAGGTAAGGGCTAGGTGGTAGATGAGAGTAATCCAGGGACAGGCTGAGGTTAGGGCTAGGTGGTAGATGAGAGTAATCCAGGGACAAGCTCAGGTTAGGGCTAGGTGGTAGATGAGAGTAATACAGGGACAGGCTGAGGTTAGGGCTAGGTGGTAGATGAGAGTAATCCAGGGACAAGCTGAGTTTAGGGCTAGGTGGTAGATGAGAGTAATACAGGGACAAGCTGAGGTTAGGGCTAGGTGGTAGATGAGAGTAACCCAGGGACAAGCTGAGTTTAGGGCTAGGTGGTAGATGAGAGTAATACAGGGACAGGCTGAGGTTAGGACTAGGTGGGCGATGAGAGTAATCCAGGGACAGGCTGAGGTTAGGGCTAGGTGGTAGATGAGAGTAATCCAGGGACAGGCTCAGGTTAGGGCTAGGTGGTAGATGAGAGTAATCCAGGGACAGGCTGAGGTTAGGACTAGGTGGTAGATGAGAGTAATCCAGGGACAGGCTGAGGTTAGGACTAGGTGGGCGATGAGAGTAATCCAGGGACAGGCTGAGGTTAGGGCTAGGTGGTAGATGAGAGTAATCCAGGGACAAGCTCAGGTTAGGGCTAGGTGGGCGATGAGAGTAATCCAGGCACAAGCTCAGGTTAGGGCTAGGTGGGCGATGAGAGTAATCCAGGGACAAGCTCAGGTTAGGGCTAGGTCCACTAGGGCGGGACCACTAATTGACATGTATTGGGTTTGAGCCATTGAAGCAAAGTTCCCTTGTAAGCATCTCACACATTACAGCAGTGCGTATCATTTCTACTGACTTTTATCATTTTGACGTCCTTAGTACTTCGCTGAGGGAAAGTAGCCGGGATGTCGTACCAAAATGGGCGTGACGTCTTTGTATACCATATAGTAAAATATCATCTAAAGAGATCAATCTATCTGATAGGGAATGTGCACAGCGCTTATCGTCTATTTTTTTTATGGAAAGTTTTAAATAGATCATCTATACTAGAATATATTGATAGTAACCAGAGAATTTATTTATTGATCACCACAACAAACGTTTCTATGGCAGCACAAGCTGACCGCTGTGTGGCAACATGCAGCAAGGGAACAGAAAGGATATAATATGTGTTACAATATAACAGACATGATAAGGATATGGGAGTATGGTACAGTCACCGGTGCGTCAGCATTGCAATTCTAATTACAGCTCCCCACAAAGGAAGACTCTTCATACGCACCTCTCCGGTGGTGGTGGTGCAAGTCTTCGCTTTGTTCTGTTGAAGAGCTACGGTTTAATCTTCAGCATGCAACACATTTACAGGGCTATTCACAAAAGGGTGAAGAGTTTGGAGAAGGCAGGAGAAGTGAACAATCTAGGACAACATAGCCGATTTGGAAACATTCATTAGATTGTTCACTTCTCCGGCCTTCTCCAAACTCTTCACCATCTTGTGAATAGCCCTGATAATGTCTGCCTCCCCCACTGCATGCTGTGGTTCCTCTTGCTGGCCTTTACATCATTACAGGGCACAGTAGGGACCAACGGAGGGAACTACAACGCA